AAGTAGGTAAACTTTTCCGAAAATTACCACTCAGCGGCTATTTAGTTTGCTATTCACGAACCTAGCTGTAGATTTCTAAAATTCAAAATGGCGAATGCAATATGGCGGTTGAAAAATCGAAAAAGTAGATCAACTTTTAGGAAATTTAACACTCAGGCTTTTCTTAAAGCACTGTTTACGAATTTGAAGTAAGATTTTTTAAAATCAAAATTGTAATAAATAAAAATTATAGAGAAACGAAATAAATAATTGAATATTGAAATAAATTAAACTCTCTAAATCTGAATATGTGAAAATTCACATATTTGTACGTTATAAGTCGTCTTCTCGATCAATAAGTGCATATGCACTTATAATAAGTGAGATTTCACTCAGAATAAGTGAAAAATTCACTTATTTATAAGTGTATAATGCACTTATTGATCGAGAGGACGACTTATAACGTACAATAAGTGAAATTTCACATATTCAGATTTAGAGAGAACTTTAAAATGAAACTTTTTTTTATTCATTTGACATTTATTGTTTCTTATTAAATTCTTCTTTACTCTTTGAATTTTCTATTATTTAATTTAATTTCTTCTACTTCTAAAAACTGCGCAGTTATGAAGAGAGAAATTCAAATATTTCTTTTATCCAGAGGAAAAATAATTTTATGCAAATGTGAGCGAAATTTATAATTAGATGTGGTATTTATATTTATTTTTCTGCATGTTTCATTTAAATAGGAAAAAAATGATCTTTTGTTTATACCATGGGAGAACTCGTGTTCAAGTTTCTTGCATTCGTATTTGTAAATGTAGAATCCACAAGCATGAAATCCTTTTTGCGCACTTTGCATATCGACAATTTTCACAGTGTGAGACTACTGGTGAGTGAGTGAAGAGAAATTCCTATACACACATATAGGCGTGCACAGTTGTCTCATGAGACTACCATATGTATGCTTTATATTTCGCTTGTTTAACACACTAATGAACTCATTTAACTTTTCATTTTTTAAATGATCTTTTCAGTATATATTTTCTTTTCGATTTTAAATTTCGACGTTTTTTCCTACAAAAAAAAAAAAAAAATGCTCTGAGCAGTTTTTATTCCATTGTTCTTGGTTAAAAATAAGATTTGTTAATTTTTTAATATTTAAACAATTAAGCAATTATAGAAAAAAATTAAATTACAAAATTTAAACTAAAAAAATACTTTAATTTCTTTATAGAAATCAAAAGCAGGAAATATTTTTCTAAGATAGAACGGAATATTCCATTCACATTCCTGGAATTTTCTATTGGAACATTGGAGACATTAGAAAGGAATATTTGATCCTTATTTTAGGAATATTCAGAAGAAATATTTCGTTGGAATATTCCTCATTCAATATTTTTTAATTGGAATACAGTAGAAATATTTTATAGGAATATTTTAAGAATATTACAGGAATATTCCATTGGAATATTGTAATTGGAATATAGTAAGATTCTTCAAAGGAACATTACAGGAATATTCCACAATAAATATTCCAATATGAATATTCCAGAAATGCGAATGAAATATTCCGTTCGAAGGGAGTTATTTAACGTCATTTTTATTCAAACTGTATTTCGAGTAAAAATACCATTGACAAGGAATGTCAAAATTTTTCGATGTTCACTTTTCCATTTTTTCAATGATACTTGATTCCGCTTAAGAGGAAATTAATGCCATAAAAATTAATGGGTCGCTCAATATATTTATTTATTTGAATGTGTGTGAAAAAAAGGTGGGTGAATTTTAACTTGAAAACGTCATTGAGTGCACTTCTATCAATTTCGCTAATATTACCAAATGTAAATTCCACAATCATTTCCGAAGTTTAAAATCGAAGGGAATGTATATGTATCAAGTTAGTAAAGTGTGTATACCACTGAACGTGTAAACACGATTATTGACCCATCATCAAATTTCCCTTAGTCCCTTGATACATCGTTCCAATCAGGAAATTATTGTCCTAACACTCATCTGAATATTGAATGATAGAATTTTTCGCCTTTTTTATTAACCATAATAAAAAAATATATAATTTTATCTATAAATAGTTCACGAAAATTTTTTAAAAATTCCAAAGGGTAATGATTTTTATTTCTCTGTTTTTTCTTTTTTGTTTTTTGTACTAGACTAGAATCGAAAAAAAAAAATTTCCAATTTGGCAGGACGTAAACAGAAAATTTCAATTCACCTAACCGAAAATGTCCATTGGACTGAAAATAAAATTTGAATTCCTTGGAGCAAAAAATAATTGAATTCATCGCTAACACAAAAAAAAACCTCTTAATTCATCGGATCGAAAAAAATGTATGATTCATCAAATAATTTAAATGTAAACCAAATATTTGATTAAAAAAAGAATATATATGTTAGTCATAAAATTTTGCTTTTACATTTCATTTTTAGTGCGTGAAAAATTATATTCCAGTTTTTAATATAATTATTTTTTATTCAATTGTAACTTTTTTTGTTTACTTATTAGTTTCGAATTTAAACTTTCCTTCTCTTTTGGTATTTATTTTGTACTATTCACTATTGTATTCAATTTTTTGTGTAATGAATAGCAAAAACAAGAGTAAAAAAAATTAACGGCAGTAATAAGAAAGAACTATTACTAAATAACAAAATACAAATAAAAGAGTAACGACTGGAAAAGTACAGAAAAACTAGAAATTGTATAGTAAAAAAAACAATTGTAGCAACAAATTCAAATTAACATAGCAACAACAAGAAATTGCAATGAAAACTAATTAACATAACAGAAAAATCAAATTAACAAAAGAACTAAAAAAAATAATTTAGCAACAGCTACAAATAACAAAACAACGAAAACGAATTAACATAACAATAAAGCAAAGCAATAAAAACTAATTAACAACACAACAAAAATAATTTAAATTAGCAACAACAACAAATAGAAAAACAAAAAAATGAATTAAAATAGAAAAAAAATCAACAAAATAATTAACTGAAAAACAAAAATAGTTTAACTTAGCAACAACAACAAATATAAAAACAACAAAAATGGATTAAAATAACAGAAAAGCAACGCAAACATAAACAAAATTAACATAAAAATAACAACAACAAATTTAAAACTAAGAACAAAATTAACATAACATAAAGAATAAATAAACATAACAGAAAAAACAATTTAACTAAGCAACAAGAAAAACAAATTTTTCTGTTTCTGAAAAGCCAAACAACAAAAACAAATCAACATAACAGAATGATGAAATAAACATAACAGAAAAAACAATTTAACGAAACAACAAAAACAATTTAACTAAGCAACAAGAAAAACAAATTTTTCTGTTTCTGAAAAGCCAAACAACAAAAACAAATCAACATAACAGAATGATGAAATAAACATAACAGAAAAATCGAATTAACAAAAGAATAACCAAAATAATTTAACTTATCAATAAACACAACAAATAAGTAAAAATAAACAAAAAAGAATTAACATAACAGAGAAGCAAAACAACAAAAACAAATTAATATAACAGAATGAATAAATGAACATAACAGAAAAAACAAAGTAACAAAAGAACAAAAAAATAATTTAGCAACAACAAGAAATTTAAAAGCAAGAAAAAAAATGAAAAATTGAATACAACATTCAATAGTTTTGTAACATTTTGTACTAAGTCATGAAGTACTTAATTTAAAGTAGCTAAACATTTTTTGATTTTTTTTTCGAAACACGGATCTATTTTGACAGCAAAAATCAAAAACAAATTAATATTACAAAAAAAAACAAATTAATATAACAACAAAAACAAAATAATAATAATATCACACATTATAATAACAATAACAAATAAAATAAAAAAAAAGTAATAATACAAAGACGATAGTACTAGAGAAGAAGCGAACTTACTAAAAAATACAGGACAATAATAGAATACAGTAATTAAAAGAACAAAAACAGAATAACATAACAAAAACAAAAATGCAAATAAATAAATAAATTTATTTGTTAAACAAATAAATTTTAACAGGATGATAATAATAATAACTAAAATTTACATCAGTAACGAAAATAATACCTAACGATATTAATAATACCTAACAAAAAAAAATCAAAACAAAAAAAAATAGGACAGAGAGAACAAGTTAATAAAAGCAGTTACAGAAAAAAGTAAAAAACAATGTAAAACAAAAAAATGACAAAAAAATAGAGATAAATAATAATAATGTTGGTAAAGGCGTTAACCGTTCAATTATTGTTGTAACTATTTAATAGTTTTGTAGCATTTTGTGCAGAGCCATAATAATAAAGTATTTAATTTAAAGCAACTGAAAATTTTCTATTTTTTTTTTCAAATTCAAATTCATTTCTAAAAGTTCGCGAGATTTTTTCGATTAGCTCTTCAATTTTTGCTCGCCAAGATCAAGAAAAGAAAAAAAAATTAAGGCAATATTTCAATAAAAAAAAAGTTGCAAGACTTTAAAGCTGAAATCTGTTCCTAATAGCCCCAGATTACGGTATAAATTGTTGTTTGCATAATTATATAAATATATAGAATGAATAAAAAGTATGGAAACATGCACATAAAAAGAAAAATATACGTTTTCAAAAAAAAAAAAAAAATGGTTCAAACAAAAGTTGTTCAGGACAAATGGTCTATATTATAGGCCTTTTTGTCCTGAACAATTTTTATTTGAGCCATTTTTTTTTTTTTTTTGGGAAGAAGAATATTTTTCGTATTATGTGCATGTTTCCATCCATTTTAAATTTTTATTATTTTCTTTTATTAAATTATTATTGTTGTTATAGTTATATAAATAATTATTTTCAAGAAAATGAAATTTCCCTCTTCTTTTTCTATATTTGTGGATATTTCAATTTTTTTCTGCAAAACATTGATTTCAAAACTTATCAACAAAAAAAAAAAAAAAACAAAAAAATTGCGAAACATTCTCGCTATAAATAAGGAAAGAAAAAAAGATCGCAAACATCTTCAACTTCTTACCTTAGGAAAGGCAAAGTGTTAGATTCCGAGTTCGAAGATGGAGAGTTATCACGAGGATCATCCTGTAAGCTTGAGAAGAGATTGGCCCGGGCGGCATGGCTCCCACCTCGCGTGTTTCTTGTCTTCTTCCACTGTTTCTCTTTTTTTACACCTACAATTGCACCGTGTTGATGTTATTCTCTATTTATGCGCAATTTTTCTTTTTTTGAAAACAAACCCACTGAGTTTATTATTTCATTTTTTTTTTCTTTTACTATTTCGTAAAGTGGTCGCGATCTAGAAAAAACCACTAAATTTTGAATTCACACAAAAAAAGCCTTTTTTTACTAATGCACCTCAATTCCGCGAGTGGGAAATAGAGACTGAAAGAGAGAGAGAGAGTGAGAGAGGAAGATGGTTCGTTCACCCGCACCAGAGCAAAAGCCCAGGGAAACTCTTGTTGATCACCACGAGCAATTCACAATTTATTTTCTATGATGATGACGACGAAGAATTTTTGGGATTTTCACCATGATTTTGAGAAAAAAGGTGGGGGAGAGAAAAAGGGATTTTTTAATTTGTGATTTTGGGAAATTTTTTTTTTTATTTTTTTTTTTTGGAAAGAGTGGAAAATAATTTTAATGTGGATGTGAGTGTGTGTGTGTGTGTGTTGGGAGATGAGAGAAAATCTTTTGAGATTTTCCGCGAGATCTGAGCGCAGGACACGATGGCCCGGCCACTGCGCCGGCACTGAGGCTACGCCGCAGCCTCGGCCTCCTGGTGCTACCCCCCTTGGCCTCCCATTTTCCATCTCTACATCTCCAACCCTCTCATTCTGTCTCCTTTCGTTTCTCTCTCTCGCTCTTTCTCTCGTTCCCAACCAACTTTCCCAACCCCCACTATTCGTTTCACGTCTTGCTCTCTTTCTCTCTCCCTCTCTTTTCTCTCTCTCTCTATTTCTCTCTCTATTTTTCTCTTTTCTCTCTCTCTCTCTATTTCTCTCTCTCTCTCCCGGCGTTTCTATCCGAAATATCCTCCCCTCGGTCTTTCCATTTCCGGTTGACCCTTCAAATCGCGTCATTTCTTCATTTCTTTCTCATTCCTATGTTCCTTTCTTTTTCTTCTTTTTGTTTTTCCTTATTTTTGACCCTTTCCTCTATCTTTATATTTTCTGCCATAATTTTCCCCTTTAATTTTGATGTGTTCTTAATTTTATTTTGTTTTCATTCATTTCTGTAATTGGGTTTTTTATTTATTTATATTTGTCTTTACTTTGTTTTTGTTTATTTTTATTTCAGTTTGCTTTTATTTTGTTATTTATTTTTTGTTATTCTGTTTTTATCGATTTGTTTTTAATTTATTTTTTCTTTTTTTTTCTTTACAGTTTTTTTTCAATTTATTTATGTAGTAAAACGTTAAATTTATTTATTAGTTTGGAAATTTTCTGTTTTATTTATTTTCATTGTTTTAAATATTTTAGTAATTAAAATAATATTGTTTTTAATATTATTCTTAATTAATTAACAATTATATTATTAATGAATGATAATAATATTATGAATTAATGACAATGATATTATTAATTAATATGATAATAATATTATTACTAATTTATTCATATATTTGTTTTTTTCAATTAAGCTTTTACTTTATTTTATTTACTTTTTTTTCATTGGTTTGTTTATATTTATTTCATTTTAATTAACTTGTTAATATTTTGTCTTTAATTTTTTTTACAATTAAATTTGAATGCATGTATTAGTATTAATTTTCTTAATTATCATTTTTATTTTTTAATATATTTTTAATTAATAATCGTTTCCTCTATCGTTTCTGATTTTTAATTAATTATTTATTTATTTTTTGTAGTATATGTTTTTGAATGATTCCTAATGCAATAAAAAAAATTCCAGTCAAACAGAGTTATTAAAAATTTCATTTTTTTCAGATCAGTAGTAAAGGTGATTTTTAAGTCAGACAAAATTAAAAGTTTCTATATTTTTTATGTCAGTAGTAGTAAAACTTCTAGTCAAACAAGAAATGTCTATCAATTTATTTTACTTGACTTTTTTACTTAAAGAACTATACGGGGTGTTGTTTTTCTAACAAAATCTAAATTAAAAGAAACTAAACTAAAAAATAAACTTTTAACTAAATTTTACTAAACTAAAGGAAGATTTTTGTCAGATTAAATATTTTTTGTGGCAGTAGTAAAAATTAATTTTAATCAGGCAAAGATTAAGAATTTTTTGTACAAGTAGTAAAAAGTGTTTTAGTCAGACATGAAATAATTATTCTTTTCGTCTTTACCAAAATTTTTAAATCTTCCAGGGATTTAAATTTCTTGTATTTACTATTTTTTCTTATTTTTCCTTATTTTTTGTGAATATTCTGATATTAATTATTAATTAATTTTACTTTTATTTATTAATTTCATATTCTTTTTTATTTGTTTTTCGTTTCATTTCCTTTTTTGTGAATAATTGTTTAAATTTAAATATTAAATAATTTCAGTAATAAAATAAATAATTAAATGTAAATATTAAAATAAAAATCAATACTCTAATGAACATAAAAAAATGTAAAACTATTCTTAACAATAATATCCTTGAAATTTTGTGTCTAAAATTTAAATTTCGTATCAAATTTAAAAGAAAATTTTTTTTTCACTTAATTTTTACTTTTTACTCTTTACTCTTCGTTAGTAATAAAACACCAGATCTAAATTAACATTATAATAGATTTAAAAAATTATTAAAAAATATTACTAAATAAAATAAATGTAAACTTTAAAATTACTATTAAAAATATTTTAAAATAAATTAAAATATTATTATTAACAAAACATTTTGAACAAAATTTAAATTTTCTTTTAAACTTTTTACTATTGTTCTTTCATATTTGGTTTTTCATATTTTTTCTTCATTTTCTTTCTGTTATTTTTTCTCATTTCTAGTCCTTTTTTTCGATATTTCTCGCTTTTTGTTTTCACACTTCGCATTGGCGTTTTCCTCTCTCCTTCCTTTTTTTTCAAAGTTTTCTCACTTCACGGTGTCTGAGTCCACCTTCTGTTTGCTTATTGTCGTTCTCGTTTTTTTGACGAAAAGGAATCATGATTCTGTCCTTATCTCGTTTTCATCTGAAGCGCGAAATACTCACACACACACAAATAAAAAAATATTGTTGCCAAGGCGGATTGCTTAAAACCTTCTTCGTACTCTATATACTCTAATAGGATTATTTTTATTCAATTCTCTATAAAGTTTCTAATGTTTCTATATTTTCCATCTTTTTTTACTATTTCTTTTATGTCAATTTTTCACAACAAACTTTTTTGATAATTTTTTTCAATAATTAATTTATAGAGAAAAATTTGCCACAGAGAAAGAAATCTTCTACCGAAACTTTTAGTTGCTTCAGTTAAGAGTTTCGCTATTTCAAAGAATTTTCTCTCTGTTACAGGTGAACATTTTTCATAGTTTGTTATTTTTTTCTATTATATTAAAAAAAAGAATATATCAACTATTTTCATAATTGCCCTTGTTTAAAAAATGTTTCGTATCCAAAGTAATTAAAAATTTATTAAATTTTTTTTTTATTTTTCAATTCATATATAAACACACTCATAAATAAAACAATGCAGAAAAAAAATTCCCAGGAGAAATTGTTTGCTCTTAAGTGTAAATACAGTTGACATTTTCGAAATAGTTTTGAAATTCTTTTTTTCCTCCACTGAATTCTAAAGTGATATACATTTTTTTTAAATACAAAAATAATAATATTCATAAATATACGAGAATGTTTGAGAAAGAAGAAAAAAAATTTTCTTTTTCTTTTTTTCTATACACGTTATGTAAACATAGAAAAAGTGTGTTGCACACAAAAATATTTTATATGTAGTAATAAAAATTTCTTGTAAAATCTTCATTTATTCGCGAATTTTACATGAAACTTTCCTTGATGTGACTTTCATGAGATTTTTTTAAGATAAATCTATTTTAGTGATATATGTATAAATTTTTTTCTTCAAGTATCTCTTGAAAATTTTACTTCCACAAAAATTCACTGTTTTACGATGAGAAATATAGGTACAACATTCTCGACAATAATATATTTTTAGAGTTTTATATAATGAGTTGAGGTGAAGTGGACGGAAATATAGTTAAATTTTTTAAAAGTAAAAAAAAGTAAAAAATTTTAGATTTTCATTTTTATTTAATACCATTTTTTTATTGATACAAGAAATAAATTTAATTCCTTCTGTCTGACTGAAACTTGTTTTTACTACTAATACGAACAAAAATTAATTCTGTCTGACTAAACCCTGTTTTTACTACTGATAGGAACCAAAATCAATTTTTTGTCTGACTAAAACTTGTCGTTACTACTGATAGGAACGCTAATTTACTCTGTCTGACTGAGACTAATTTTTACTACTTACAGAAACAAAAGTTCCTTCTGTCTGACTAAAACTTGTTTCTACTACTAATACCAACAGAAAATTTATTGTGTCTGACTAAACCCTGCTTTTACTACTGGTAGGAACGAAAATACCTTCTGTCTGACTGAAACTTGTTTGTACTACTAATAAGAACGAAAATTATTTCTGTCTGACAAAAACCAGTCTTACTACTGATAGGAACGCAAATTTATTCTGTCTGACTAAAACTTGTTTCTACTACTAATACCAACAAAAAAATTATTATGTCTGACTAAACCCTGTTTTTACTACTGATAGGAACGAAAATTCCTTCTGTCTGACTGGAACTCGTTTGTACTACTAATAGAAACAAAAAGTTCTTCTGTCTGACTGAAACTTGCCTTTACTACTAATAATACAAAAGGACACGGTTGTGTATTATTTATTTAAATTTATAATTTTTATTGTTCCACTATTTTGTTTATTTATTATTTTTAATTATAAAAATGTAATAATAATATTAATTACTCACTAAACGTGTTAATTTTCTCTTAATATTTTTTTGTTACTAGTAACAGTTTAGTAAAATTCATTATTTTTTTTAATTATATAAAAAATGACGCATCAAACTTTTGAAATTCGTCAAATATTTTAAAGTAGTTTTGATATCCATCATCTTCAATCACTATATATATACGAACACTCCACGGTAAGATTCCATCGTTGTCACTTGTCGATATTTAGAAAGGAAATGACGTTCCTTCTCACGGAACTCGGAAAAGCATTCTCATTCCGTGATGTTCAACTGGCTTTTGCTAGATTCTGCTCGTCACTCTCGAAGGTCCTTTTCTCTCAGTCTTAAAGTGATTTCCATTAATATAATGACGACATTGGCAAAGCTTCCTTAGGCCGCTTCAAGTGAATTGTTCTCAGCTATATATAACGATAATCCCGGAAATTCATAATCTAATGATCATAAATTTTAATATTTAATTTATAAGAAAAATATTTAAATTACACAATAAAAAAATTATTTTATTTTCTTCACATCTAAACGGGATTACGATCTTTTAATATTGTTTAACAATTTTTACTGAAATTTAATCATTCATCATTTATTCTATCTAATTGAAATTTGCAACAAATTTCTTTTTAAAAATAAAATACAAATTAGAATATGTCACGCTCCACGAGAAAAGGGACCTTATTTACTCTTGTCATAAGGTCCCTTTTCTCGTGAAGCATCACATACATAGTTTTAATATTTTTATAATTATAATAATCATGTATTCTGACATAGGGAATTTAGGGAAAAGTCAGGAATTTTTACTAAAATTACTGAAAAAAATTAAATTTTTAGATTTAATAAGAAAATTCTGAATTTTTGTGTCTTTTTTGTTTGACTCGCAAACTATAAAATTACCACGAATTCTAATACAAAACCTTCAATTTTCTCAATTTCAGACAAAAATTATTTAATGAATAATTTTACATAAATATTTCAAAATTAATTCAATTTTCAAA